AGATGTCAATATAGAGACATAATTGCAGCTGCTTAGAAACTCATCCTTGTAAAGTGCGCGAAATTTATTTTTGCTGCATGTATTAGTGTTTATGGTCAAAATAAATCAACCAAGATTATAGATATAACATAATGAAATGACTTTTGTAATAGAATTAGAGAAATAAGAGCACTATGACGTTTCTTTTCTCAAGTGTATAATAGCTATTGAATTCTAGCGCGCAATATAAATGCGACTCACTGCATTTAGTTTAATTACCAATAAAATTAGACGTTCATAAAGCTATATTTGGTTATGAAAAGAAGGGTATTATGTATCATACTGTGTCTGATGTTATCGTGTCAAGATCATATATCATAAAATACACTGTTAGAAATGTAACCACGAGCTTCCTTTACATGTAAATGAAGCTGGTGGTTATGAACGAAATTAAAAATAATGAATGATTTAACTGAAAATTAAGTTACAGTAGTTATTTAAATGTAATGAACGTGTACATTAAATTTATAATATTTAATGTACTTTTCATAAAATTTTATAAAAAGTACATTAAATTTCATAAATTTTCATGAAAAATACATTAAATTTCATGTACATGTACACAAATATACTTTTCAGTTATAAATACATTAAATTTAATGTAATGTCATGAAATTAAGTTCAAATCGTGTAACTTAAAAGTATATTAAATTTCATGACATTTTTAACAGTGTAGAGCAAATCGCTGTCAACGATCACAAGCATAATAATTATTCGCAATAATAGATACAAGTGATACGAGAAGTCACATAGATATCGATATGAACAAATTAACATTCACAGTACAAAAATGAAGTAAAAGAAAATCAAAATCAAAAGAGATGAAGTAGAGAGTAGGAAACTGCGAAAACCTAGAAAAAGTTAAATAAAGCCAGCGATTATTTATCAATTAGAATTATTTATTCAAAAGATATTTTAATTATTTGGCTTTAAACTACAATAATTAACATTCATGTATTATAAATTATAATATAAACTATAATTTTAAACAGAAAAATGAAATCTTTACAATTTGGAATTACCCGCTGCTACATGAGACAATGTCGAATCCATTTTGTTTTCTTAATATCTTTTGAATAAAGATTTCCATAATTGATAAATAAGCATCGACTTTATTTAAATTTTCCTTTAAGTATTCGCAAATTTCCCTACTCTGCCCTACATCAAAATCATTAAAAACATGCAATGGTATTTACCATAAACAGTGTATGCGTTCTATACATAATCATGTATAGTGTGGCATTAAACGTATATTGATCTATCATGCATAACTGAATGTGAAAAATGAAATAGAGATGTGTACTCTAATATACTGCAATAGTTCATTCGTATTTACCTCGTTTTGTAATTCCCCCACTTCCTTCTACATAAAAATAAAAAATGTGTTTATACACTACACTGTATATAAATAATTGATATCTTTCAAGTAGCACTATGTTTTTTTATTATAAATTAAGAATTTTCATTCTTAAATTTTCATATGAAAAAAAATATTTCCATATGCAGAATAATCCCATGTCATATCTGAAGAATTTAACGGAGGTTAAATCCGATTGAAAAGTACTATGCTTCAAAAATTTGTAACGGTAAATTATTATGACTTTGATTACGAAGATACACGTGTATAATGTGTTGGAAATATTCTTATCAGTAACTGGTATTTCAATACAAGGTTGAATCTTCAATAGAATGTACACGTAGGAAAACCTGTTATGTTTCGCATGAGATGAGATACTTATCTAAAGGAGAATAACGCGATATGCGTGCACCCACAAATAAATATATCTTGATATCATAGTGAATGTGCACTTCTGTAACCTTCCACAATCTCTACATTTCCTTTCCATCTTCGTACATTTCATTTTCGGTCCCGGTTCCATACTCAAACATGTAAGTAGGCTAGTAGTGCATCTCTATTATTATCATCCTGGTATGAAATGTGACACAGAAAAAAAACAAGCATTAGCGGATGGTCATGTCTAATTTATCCGGTGCTAACTAAACATTGTTTCGCTCAAATTATCGCCCAGTCAGCTATCGTATTAACGCTTCAACATTATTTCTTTCAGTAAGTGTTTTTTCAAATTTCTCGTTGATGGTATAAGAATAAATTCTCTAATAAGTCACTGTAAAATATAATAAAAATAAATGTGTGAAATAGTTTTGAGACAAATTAATTATTTATTCTGTTAGATGTCACGCAATCATCTAATAATGAATATCTTTTCTTATTATAATATTTATACTTCTCATAAAATATTGATGCACACTCGTTCTGCATTCCATTTCAGAGAAAATTGCACATGGCACACATTAGCTGAATTAAAGCCTTGCGGACGTTAAATTGTATTTTGCTATAGGGAAATTAATATATTTATCTTTTAGTTTGGAACGCGGGCTATGCACGGTTAGATAACGCGTCTTGATATATACATTTCACACATATATGTTTGTGTGTGTGTGTATTCTCTCAATTAAAATTGACATCATAAAAATTACATAAAAAAATTTTTATATAACTCCCACTAAGAATATCGCGATAATATAAATACAAATTTAGCAAAATTTTATGAAAAGTTTTTTGGCATTTCGGCCATTGAAATTGCGATTTGATTGCGGTCACCGCATTTAATTAGTGCTGATAGGATTATATGATTCAACGGCACAATCTATCTCGTAGATCGTTTCGCTAAAAAATAAAACATCACTCACATTCACATCTGATCCATTTTTTAACAGAAATTAGTTATTTTTTAATTAGAAAATGATAATTAAATGTCAACATTAAAGCTATTACCGCACTAAAAATGTCAACCAAATATATGAGTTTAATCAAATATACACAGCATACTAATAAAAACTTGTTGGCTCACAATTATTGTCATAATGTGCAGATAATCTCGGGATAATGAATTAAAATAAATATATCAGACCAAAGGAATATCAAATAATCGAGCTAAAAACAAGAGGATAATAAACTTAAATTGCGCCATTAAAATTATATCAAGTCATACGATACTTAATAAGATTTAGAAAGTCTGGTGAATGATCACGTTGACACATATAACATAAAAAATATGGTAATCAAATAATAATATAAGGTTGTATAATTTACCTATTGACATCAAGGATTGACACAGCATCCTCACTAATAAGTGGTGAAACGTAACTATCGTATCAATATCAGATTTGCATGATAATAGTTGGATATAATTCTATATAATTTAAAAGATTATACCACATTGTGCATTTGATCTTTTTATGCTTCACTTATTTTTAGTTAGAGACTTGACATAAATTCTTTTTTGTTTCTCAATGCGAAATATTGGTTTCAAGATCAGTGTCATATATTTACATATAGTATTTAATTTTTCAAATAAGTATTATAAGGTTGGAATATTTATTACCGAGTCCATTGTTGATCATGGGTAGAAAATACATGTAAAATAAGATATTATTATTAGCCTTGTATATAAAGTAGATAGTTACATACAAGCATACCTTTTTATAAATGCTCCGATAATTTTTAGAATTACGTAAATTGAAAGAAAAGTAAATATTAATTTGTTCTAAGGGCTGTTATTTGTAATGTGTCATTTATAAAATTATTGACGCGTGTATAAGTTAAAATTAATGTCATTAAAATTAGATATCATTAATCATACTATATAATTATAATAAAAGTAGAACACTACCTTTCCATATTATTAAAAGATTGTATTAAACTCTGACATAAAGTGCTTATAAATTTCTCATAAAAAAGAAAAACAATCCTTATTAAACTAATAATTATACACTGATATTATAATGCTACGTATGAAACATACGTAAATTTAATTATTAATTATTTATATTATTAATGGTCGATTAGATTAGGAAAAAATAACATTTTAATACTGTTGCCTCGTAATGTACGAAATATATGTTCATATATTTAATAGAACCATAATTCTATTATGCTAACTAAAAAGATTATACCCATAGCAGTAAACAGTTTCTTTATTATCACGAGTATGTGTTTAATTAGTAAAGCCACTTAACAGTATTATCACCTCGTAAATGAATTTTTTTGTCCCAGAAAACTCATTTGACAATCAAATGCGCTACTTAAAAATGCAAGCACATTAAATCACGATGACAATGTTAATTTATTTTATACGATATCTATTTAGATATTGCATAATATTTAAATGTGATACCCGGTATATAATAAAAATACAATAATTTTGTAATCTATAAAAGTAAATATAGACTTGAGATATTATCAATGTAGGTGTGTATACGTATGGTATATAAAAAAATTATGAGCTCATATAAATAAAAATTCTGTTCAAAGTATAGAAATATAAAAATATATATAGAAATACTCCCAATATGATAAAGTTAATACTTTGTTAGATATCTGTCAACTTTTAAGCGTTAAATTTAAAAATGGGAGACATTAAATGATTACAATTAATATAATAAGAGTACTTTAGTATTACTATCCTTCTCTCTCTATGCATAATAAACATTTTGTTTAACAATATAAATTACATTCGCAAATTAATTAAAAAGAATTTGTTTATAATTTAATATTTTAATTTGTACTTAATATTTTTAGTCACGTTTTCCTCTTTCACTTAATATTGGAATTCACTGGATCATCATACCTTTGAAATATAATATCAAAATAATATCAATGTAACGTCAGTAAGATAATATTTGCAAGATTAACATAATCATTTTGTATAACATACTATTTTATCAAATTTATTAAATATAATTCAGTTTTTCTCGCCTGGTCTGGTTGTCTGTAAAATTAATATTAATATTTTTAATTACATTAATATAAATTTGTATCAATTAACACGAAGAAACTTTCAGCGTGCCACCATCTCGTGGTAAATCCGCCAAACGTAAATACTGCTGGACGGTCTGTGCGCACGCACCAAGCCTTATCGATGAGAGTCGGCACGGTTCATGGATCGAACAAGGGGGGTGAAGAGGAAGAAACGGCGCCGAGCGTGTGGAAGCGGAGCGTGGTAGAGAAAAAGAGAGAGGAGACTCAGTGACTGGACTCTGGAGCGGGTCAGTCGGCTGGGAGCTGGATGATCAGCCTGTCTTGTGAACGGTTGTAAAACGTCACGTATGCCGTCTCTCTGGAGGCTGACGGATTCCCAGCAGATGTGCAGGTGTGACGAAAACACGACGACGATTCACTGACACGTCGTCGTGATAGCAAAGTGGGGAAGAATAGGTGAACGTGGGTGAGGAAGAGAGGATACAGCCAACCAAGCCCAAAGACGTTAAGAGGGAAACCTGATAAGATGTTTGGAAGAAAGGAAATCGAAACGCCGAAGGAAATAGACATTGATAAACCGTACTGGGATCAGAGCACTTACCGCGGAAGGGCATTGCACTTCTTGACAGTAACAAACCCGCTTAATGTCTTCGCCACGAGCCAGCAACTTGAACGCGCGCGTGATGTCGTCACGAAATACAGGTAGTCGTAGCTATAATTAGTTTTGCTTTTTTGCGCGTCCGCTCAGTTGGGACGCATAATCAACACGATGACGTCATATGTTTTACTACACACGTAGAGAACATGTGTTAGAATGGCATCTTGTTTATGCCTTGAGTTGGAGTTTCATTTGCCGCAGAATTCCTTATCGCATGTTCAACTTTATCGAAAAAAAAAATCGCAACGGACAATTCTAGCATAAGCCATATATCTTCAATTTACATGTTATAAATCATTTCTTACATATATTATATATTTTCACTTTTATATTAATGTAACGTATTTGTTTGTTTACTGTGTAAATATGTGTGAAATAACGATCATCTGTACGTAATCTTGATATTACCCCGTTGCAGACAGGGTGAGGTCCTAGAAAAACAAGGAATCACCGAAAACGAATTATGGAGATGCAAATATCTTTACGATAGCGCCTACCACCCTGATACCGGGGAGAAAATGCTGTTAATAGGCCGTATGAGCGCGCAAGTTCCCATGAATATGATGATAACCGGCTGTATGATGACATTTTACAAGTACGTAATCGAAATTATCACACGAAGACTTATTACGATAATGCGATAACAACACTCAAATATTATGATTCTAAATGCCTCGTTAAGACACGTTAAAATAGTATTAGATATAATTGTACCTCTGTTGGAATAATGTTAGCATACAGTAATATAATTTTGATAATTATATCTTTCGACGAACGGTCAAAGTTTTAAACAGAAGCAAATAAATAAACAAAAGACTCAAATATATCTCGATCTCAAACAACATAGAATTTAGAATCATTCAAGAAACATTCAGGAAATTATCATTTAAGAAGTCGTTAAAGAGATTGCGGATTAAATCTACCTGTCTAATAGTTATATATAAGAATGCGTTATTATCGCGATGCGATTATTATCTTGTAGATCAACGCCGGCTGTAATTTTCTGGCAATGGGTCAATCAGTCATTCAATGCCATAGTAAATTATACGAACCGTAGTGGATCAAGTCCGATTCCAACGGAAACGTTAGCGCAGAGTTATATCGGCGCTACGGGAGGCGCCGTGATAACGGCATTGACTCTGAACCGTCTCGCTCAACGTGGACCACCGCTCGCAGGCCGATTAGTGCCACTGGCGGCAGTTGCGGCGGCTAATTGTGTGAATATCCCTCTTATGAGAGTCACTGAACTTCAAAATGGTATTGAATTACAAACCGAAGACGGGACGAAAGTCGGCCACAGTAAACGAGCAGCTAAACAGGCAATAGCAACCGTGACATTATCGCGAATACTTATGGCCTCTCCGAGTATGAGTAGGTTTCGTTGCATTTATTTTTTATAATATTTCATTAATCAAATTTCTAACCGAGTTTATCACCGATGAAAGCCAATTACGCCAATTAACGATAACATCATTTAACGATATGAAGTCTTTCTATATTTATATTATTATGGATATAAAATGGCAAATCATTCATGAACAAAAATTACATAAATACATATAATTATATTATTATCATATTGACTATTTAAATAGCTCTATATTTTTTTCTAAAAAAAACTTACATTTCTTCTTTAAAACAATCAATTGAAATCGATATAAATATCATATACGAAGATTCGACAATGGAGAGCATTTTATTTTATTGTTGCAGTATTGGCGCCAATAGTAATGAATTACCTAGATCGAAGACAGCTGTTACGTAATGCGAAATGGGCTGCCGGACCAATTCAAGTTTTAATTTGCGGAGTGTGTCTCACTTTTGCAACGCCGCTTTGCTGTGCTCTCTTCGCACAGCGCGTCCCTATTTCAATAAATCAACTGGAGCCTGATATACGAGAGAAAGTACGATTGCATGATACTAATCTGGAGACTGTATATTACAATAAGGGCCTTTAAACGACGTGACAAAAATCACACAGTTCTTGAATTTTTATCATTCCAAGAACACAGCCTATTATTGAAACTCAGGTATATACATTCCCGAACCGAACATTCGAAAGCATATATTATCATAAACTTCCAACGATTCATAAGTGATTCGTTCTTGTTGATACTTATACTTCCATAAATATAAATGTCCATGTGTTGATCATGAGATAAAAATTTGCAAAAACTCTATTATATCGGGATGTCTAGTCAAATCTTGAAAAAAAAAAGAATTATTAAAAATTCCTTAATCTTCCTTGTTCAAACTTTCATATAAAATTTTTTTTTTTAATTCTTTACACAGAAATTTTTTGAATTATGATAAAATATTTTAATGTTCTCTCTCGAATAAAAAATCTTTGAGACTTTCTAGATTTTTAAACTTCTTAGATATAACACCCTGCTTATGATTTAGAAACGAGTCTCTTAGCCTGAATATACGTCCAAATGCATACATATCTCCCGTTTTTCAGCCTATGTATAACGAATATCTTAGAATTTAAGAGACATCTAAATGTTTTTCCTTGTTGAATGAGAAAGGGTAACGAAGACAATAAAATTCAAAGTTGAGTGTTTGAAACGAGAATTTATTATATATCTTAACCCATAATTGCATTTTAACTGAGACATCTAGTTTAAGAATTGTGATGGCTATTCAAAACAAGCACATTACATGGTGCCGATTTTTTACCGCCAACATGTTGTACACGAGGTGGTGGTTTAATTTTACGACCGGCTGTACCAGTTTTGCGGTGCCATAAACCGCTCCTCGGCCGATTTCCCAATTCTCGATTTTTCTGTGCGCTACCAATTGGAGTAGAACTGTATTCGATATTCGATAATCGACCAACCGTAGCCATACACGACTCATGAAGACTAAATAGTTTCTTACTAGGCATCTGTACTACCACACGATCTTCCTCTCGCTTTATTAGTGTTCCGACGGTACCCGCAGAGTGAATTAGAAACCCACCCAATCCCGGATATTTTTCTACACAATGAACGAGAGTTCCCATGGGTAAAGCACCAAGAGGATAGGCATCTCCCTCTGAAGGTCTCACGGGATTACGCGGTATACCTCGATGAGTACGTAATATGTCGCCCGGTTTCATGTTTTCCGTAGCTAAAATATATTTCAGTTCACGATTGGTACCGATCAACGCGACAAAACTCGTTCTACAACCATCCTTAAAGACCTCTAGGACTTTTTCTTCCTTTGGCGGTTCGTTTAGGTCCTCAGGTCCATCCCTGATCCACTTGATCCAATGATACTTGTGCTTTATGCCACCCCCGATACCATTGGCTACTACTCTGCCTGTTTCATAAAAGCGATTCATTCTTTTTTATTTTCACTCATTTAATAGTGGTTAATTTAGCTTCAAATATAAGATGCTTCAACACAAAATATATTCGTGATTTGAAAAAAATATTTATCTTAACCGATAGTATCGATATTGAATGGAAATTAATTTTAATTCAAAAATTATCTTTTCTAACATAGAAATTGTCTATCATATGAGTGATAGACAATCTATTATTATAAAGCAAATCAATAAAAATTATATATACACATGTATTTTGATATAATGTTCGTAACATATAATATATATTAAATCTCTTTTTCAATGAGAAATAAATCGCGCGTAATCTGAACCGATACGTAAGTTATCTGTATTATCTACCAATAGTTTTCTACTTTCGCCAGTAGAGGTCAGACCTCTCGAGAATAGTAACAATCTATGCACGGTATATGACACGCGATATTGAGTTTTATCCCCATTAGTTTGTAAAGAACTTATTAGTAAAGATAAGATACATTTCAAAAAGGAAAGCTGATACTGGAGTAACGATATTATCTCACGTACCTGTCACAGGATCTCTGCCTGCTAGATTCGTAACTTTCAAAGGCTTCACCGTGTATTTATCTTCGAAATGGACGATTCTTCGAAAGGCCGAGCCTGAGCCCGCTTTTGGTAGCTGTATTAGTTTCCATTTATACCTTCTTGATACCTGAGACAACACCGAAACTGTCAAACCGACGAAATTAGGTACTTGTTGACCGAAAACACGACGTGTCAATGTCGCAGCAGACATCTTGAAACGGATGAACCATTGAGTTTAAAAGTGGTGCCATCTTCGCAAACGCAGCTCTTGCCGTAATTCTGACCGATATCCCTTCATCGTTGGAAAGTAAGGTAGGTGTTTTTTAATAAAATCAAGCGTAAACGACTATAAGCTTCAAGAATAGTCAAAAGAGTTCACCGCTGATGTGAAGTTTATATACATATATTTATAAAGCACTGTATAATTATGCTTTTTTGGAAAAAATTAATACATATTTTCATATACATATACATTCAATCAAATCGGATAAACAGGAACACTAACACTGTAGAATGCATATCTTTAACTGCAATTTTATTGAGAAAAAGAACGGATATTAATTTTACAAATTAAACAATTGATAGAAAATATTAATTTTTTTATATTTAATGAATTGCGAAGGATTAATATTAATCTCCAAAAATATTTAAAAATATACAATTAAAAAAATAATTACTATATTTGTATTTTTACAAAAAATTTTCTGCGTTAATTTTTAATAGATAAATAAATTTAGTAATTGTTGCAAAAAATACTCGATTAAATTTTGTTAGAATTGTTTGTCGTATCTTCGAAAACACGTTACGTAAAGTCGTACGATCAAAAACCATGTCTACGTAACTACGGCTCTAATAATGAGGCTAAAGTTCAGTCGCGCGAACGCGCACAGATATAACGTGCCAATTAGTCGACATTCCTTAAGATTTTCGCCACGCAAAACGATAACAAATAAACGGTAAAATAATGTGTGCCGCGCGTTATTACATCGGCGAAAGCCCGAAAGCCGCGCGACATCCGCGGCGACTGGCGAACGCGCACGAGGTCCCACATAAAGGAAGGAAGGAACGAACGAACGAACGAACGAACGAACGAACGGCGTAGAGGGGAACGCTTAATTGGCCCGGGGTAATTATTTTATTAAGTGAGAAGATGGCGGATGGAATGCTAAGAGAGAGCACGCTGGTGCGGTCTGCCGACTAGGGGACGCCGACGGAAACGGCTCAGGGGGCGGACGAGAAGAAGGGGTGAAAGTGAGGGGGGTGGCGGGGGGGTCGGATCGCGCGACGGCAGCGCAGGGTGAGCGTGACTGTGTGGAGAACGTTTAAATACCTACGTACCCACCGACGATTGTACTCCGTCAGAGCGGTAGTTTTCCGTGTAGGTGAAACGCGGCCGCAACTCTCGGTCGTGTACGTATGTATGCATGCATGTATGTACATGCCTCACGTGCACGCGCAATTCTCACCGTCACGCACGTTCATGCGCTTGCCGTCGTTCCCTTGTCTCCCTCTGTCTTGCCGCGAGAGAGAAAGGCGAGAGCGAGGGCGAGGGCGAGGGCGAGGGAAGAAGCCACGAGATAAAGGAGGATGGCGTACGGTTTTGCGCGCGCGTTCAGCGTCTCCGTCTCCGCTCCGTCTCCGCGTTGGTCGTGAAGGAGGAACATCTATTACTCGGTACATAGACCGGAAGGGGGGTCGAAGGAAGTGGAGGTTGGAATCGTCCAGGGAGGGGTGCGGGCAAGAGTAGTCGAGCGGCAAATTGTCCGCCATCTTACCCACCTTATACCTTATCTCACACCCTCGCTCGTAACCACCCTTATCCGCCCCTTCCTCCGCTATGCTTTCCTCCAACCAGACCCTCTCACCCTACACACACCGTTCTCCCCCCTCCTTGCCCCGCTTAGCCTACCTCCTCTTCATCGTGTGGTCCTCTCTCTCTCTCTCTCTCTCTTTCTTCTCCTCCTCTTTCCTTTACCTCTTCCGCCCTCCTCGCCCGCCCTTTCCCTCGACAGCCCCCGTTACGCCACCGCCTCCAAAGCTTTAGATTACCTACCCCCTTATAAGCGCTCGTGTTGCCCATTTATTACCACGACTCCCGTGACTACCACGACCGAAAGACCAACCGCCCCCACTTCCTTCCCCGCACGCTCCCTTTCATCCTTCACCATTTTCCACCGTTCATCCCTTCTTCTTGCCTCCTTCTTACCACCTTCGACGCGTATCGCCCGCGTATTTCCTTCGTTTCTTCATTCTGTTCTTAAGCACCACCGCGATCCTTATTAACGCTTTAACGCTACCATTACATAACTACGCGTGCCCGCTCCCCGACTCGAGCTCGAATAACACGATTAGTCGAGTTTACAGAGAATTACTCATACTAGGAACTATGTCTCTCTCTCTCTCTCTCTGTAGCGCATCGCTGCGCTCTCTATTCGTCTAGATTTAACAACGATCGAGTGACTCCCGAAACAAGCGCCAGTTTACTAATCAACACTCTCCTATTGTATTTATGTCTTACTAAGATCACAACTAACATGCCAACTTTATTGTACTTTGTTTTCAGAATCTTCTTCTTAATCTTTCTTTATCTTAATCGTACCTTTTTATTTTTCATTATTCGCACTTTCCCCTATCGTTCCTCGATACCTGTCTTCCAACATTTTTTCCTATCTATTTCTTCTCGTTTTCCAATATTGTCCTGCAGTCTTCATTATTTTACGAATTATACGTAATAAAGATACATCTGTTTGAAACGTAACACTATCTACTTTTCAACTGCGAATAATATTAATCATGTTTGCAGAGAATTATGAATACGAGAGCCGCGATTGTTCGGGGTGTACTGTTATTCTGTATTTGCTTAAAATTTAGAACATACGGTTTTCTAAAGAAATGCGTTATACTCATAATGCTCACGTTGTTCTCGCATTGTCAACAAGTTCGGCCCTATATATATATATATATATATATATATATATATATATATATATATATATATATATCCCTATATATTTTTTTTTAAAAAATTCTTTATTTCCTGTTTTTTAAAATTTTATTCTATGATTAATTTTCACTTAGTTTTCAACCACACCCGACATTTCCTTTGTTTCATGCTATTCCCGAGCACCTTATTATCTTCAACGCTTACTATTATACGAGTATATAACTACGCTCGCGGTTTACGGCGAGAGATTCAACACGATTAAGCGAGTTTACGACGAATTACGTGTATTAGAGCTACATGTCCCTTTAAAGTGATTATCATTTCTATTCGTTTAGAGGCACGAACTATCGAGCCTTCGCCGTAATG